GAAAAAAATTATTATCTCAATATTACGTTGTTTCCTTATACACAACTAGAGGTACATAAATAAATATTCATAAGATGTTCAAAAAAAAAAAATATTCATAAGAACGTGGGTATATATACCCAACTCTTCCAGTGTAAACATTCCGAGCCAACGGCGTTGATGCAACAATTTGGGAGCACCAAGAATGTGGCAAAGAGGTCGACGAAGAGGTAATTGGAAGGACCGATTTACGCTAGGCTTTTCGAAGGTGGCAGCTCAGAGGTTAGTGTTCGGCAGCAGCTGAATCAGTTCCTCAAGACCTCCAAGCGCGTCTACAAATGGGAAGTTGGCCAAACTCTCAGAAAGCTTTGCGATCACATTCTATACTATTCTGCTCTCAAGGTCCGTTTACTTGCCTAGATGGTCAATTTTGGTCATGGGTTTTCAAGTTTTTTGTGATTGCAATACTGTATTTTAGAATTGTCAAGGTTTTAGTGTTTTATGCTTTTTTTTATTTTTTTTATTTTTTTTATTTTGAAGTTAGAACAGTCTCGGATGTTTACATTGGAATTTGTATATGGGTGTTAGTGAAGTATCAAATTAAGCTATTTTTTAAGAGTTGAACTTGGATTTCACATGGTTTGTTGATGTGCGTGTAAAGAAATTCAAAGTGAATGAATTGAGAAATAGCTGGGTTTTTGAGATAGAAAAGTCTACATGAGTTAGGAATATTGTTAGTCTTTGACCCGCTATTTTCTTCTTATTCCCTTTTTTCTTTTAAATTTGTAAAGCACTGGCTTCTTCATGCATTTGGCTTTAATGGGTTTGCAGTAGCTGCTTTATTCGTTTAATTTAGTAGCAAACATTGTCCATCCATGCGAAGACTTAAGCCTACCGAATTCTTTGCATAACTATATACTGGTTTGGGTTGAGTATAATAATGTTGTCTGTTTGAATTTAGTACTATGGTTCCATGCCAATGTCAAGCATTTATGTTTATTTGTTGTTTTGGTTAGTTCTACTTGAAATTGGAAGATGCATTTCACTGTATTTTAGTTTGCAGCTGTCAGAAAATATGACTTAAGACAGGAATGAATAGGACAGTCAGTGATCAAGCTATCCATCTTGATCTAGTTGCTAAAGCTCGAGGGATTCCTGCTGCAGAAAATTACTTCATTGAGCTTTCTGAAACATCAAAGAACATTCCTACTTATGTTCCCTTCTCCACTGTTACTGCAAAGAATTGATGACTGAAAAAGCAGAAGCCCTGGTAAAAAAGATGAAAGAACTCGACCTTCCTTTTAGCTCCAGGTCATGTAACAGCATCATGATTCTTTATGCAAAAGTTGGCCAACCAGAAAAGGTCCCAGGAATCATACAGGAAATGAAGACCTGTGGTGTCATGCTCACGCTGATTCCTTCTGGTACGATGTCTGGATGAGAGCTCTGGCTGCCATGAATGATATTTTTGGGGTTGAAAGAGTCATTGAGGAGAACAAGAGAGATGGATAAGTTGATGATTGGACTACTTATAGCAATTTAGCATCGATTTATGTTGACACTGGCTCATTTGAGACGGTAGAAAATGCCCTTAAGGAATTTGAGAAGAGAAATGCCCAGAAAGATATTTCTGCTTCCCAATTTCTAATTACACATTGTGGGCAAACAGGAAACTTGCTTGAAGTTTATCGAATTTGGCTTTCATTAAAGTTGGCTTCCTGTAAAACAGCCCATATTAGCTATCTGAACATGATACAGGTATTAACAAACTCAAAAGATGTGCCAGGTGCAGAGAAGTGCTTCAGGGAATGGGAATCTAGCTGCTTAACTTATGATATCCGAGTTGTGACTGTATTGATGGGAGCTTATGCTCAAGAGCTGAAGGAGAAGGATTGTAGGAGAGGGGCCAAACCTAATGTTAAAACTGGGAGATCTTTTTGGATTATTATCCGAGAAACGGGGACATTAAATTATTTGTGTAGACAATGCAACTTCAACTGGTAGAGGGAATGGGGAAAAGTGCGTTCCATCTCCTGAGATTATTGGGACTCTAATGGACCATTTTGAGGATGAGAAGGATGTTGATGGGGCAGAAAGTATTCTGGAGATTTTGAAGAAGACCGTAGAAGATGTAGGGGATGAAGTGTTTGAATCATTGATAAGAACTTATGCAGCTGCTGGAAGGACAAGCCCTGTATTGCGTTGATGATTCAAGATAGAAAAGGTGGAGGCGAACGAGGCGAGTAAGAAGCTGCTTGATGTGATATGCGTGGAGTGAGTCTCACTTCATTTTTGTTCACAAAATCGAATTCCTAGACAAGTGATTTTACAATTGTTTCACTTATAATGTTTTGTTCCTCATAATAAAAACATTCTCTCCTGTAATTGATACATTGTGATATCTTTTCAAAACGTCCCAATGAAAACAATATATATATATATATATATATTTTTTTTTTTTTCTTTCTGGTACATTTGAAGATGCATTATACCATGCAAGATAGACTTATCCCTCTCCGTCCCTCTCAAAATATGAATTTAAAATTTTCAACTTAGCGCAACTCTCAGGAAAATTGGCTAGGATAGGATTCTCACAGCCAGACCAGGCTTGGTTCTCTGGCTGTCAGTCTCTTGGCTATGTGAGTTTTCCTCTTTCTCCTTCATGTTCTTTCCAGAGGTTTGGTTGGAAGGCAGAAGGGGACTAGCCGGATAACACAACTCCTTATATGCAATGCTATTTAAATTTAAGAGCATTCTTATTTTAATTGAAAGGAGTTTGGAGTAAGAAATTTTATTCCATTAAAG